CGAGTAAACATCCTTGAGCAGAATCTTCATCTCAGCAAGGGCCAGGCTATATGCATGTCAGTGGAAAGACTCTGTTGTCTGTTGCCTCGAGACACGTACTGTTTCCCGACACAGCCTCGGCCACCGTTGGCAAACGCAAACATGAGTCGTTTTCGCTCCACGTCACCCTCTGCGGCAGTCCATCGCTCGGGATCGAATTTCTCCGGCTCAGGGAATACCTGGCTGTTGATTGAGTGCACAGAGTACGCTTGGCAGCTGACGATGGTGCCTCCGGGCACGAAGTAGCCGTCCACGACCTTTCCACCCTGCGGCACTCGTCGGGGAAGCGACATGGGGATGGGAGGGAAGCATCGCAAGCCTTCCTGGATCACGGCATCCAGGTAGGGCAGCTTGTCGAAGTCGACATCTGGGTTGTTGCGCAGCTCCTGCTGCAGCTTCTCCTGGCAGTGCATCGACGATGGCTGCGACAGCTGCCACATTAGGAAACAAAGGCCATCGCCCGTTGTGTCAATGCCGGCCGCCATGTGATCGAGACACTCTCCTGCCATGTCCGCCTGGTCTAGGGTGCCGCCGCTCGCTGCCGCCTTTTCGTGCAATCGGCTGAGCAGCGTGAATGGAGACGGATCGGAGCGTTTGCTCGACTCCATCACGTAGTTGTCTGCCAACGGTGTCTCACGAGGTTTGACGAAGAAGTACAGCACGCGCGCCGGAGCTTGTGCAACGTCGGATTGTAATGCTCAATGAGGCGGTCTACGATGATTGGTTATCTCCCCACTCAACGAACTGTCATGTCCGGCGGAGTACTCTGCAGGCTATCGTCGGATGCCACCTGGTGCATCATTTCTTCATCGTTCTTGTCCTGCAGGCAGTTTGTGCCGTACGGGTTGAACAGATGGTGGGTGACACAATCGCATGCATATGCGTGCAGGGACATCTACAGCCGTCAGTTACCACGAGTGACACGAAACTAGGGCACTGCCTTTCATACAAAGATGTCATGACCTCCAGGGCCCGATGAAAGACAGCGATCAAGGAACCTCCGAGACCTCTCCTGGATGCCCGACAACGGCGCCGGCTTGACAACGTTGCTGTTGGCGTACCGATCCGCAATGATCCTCTTTCGTTTGGCATGCTGAGTTGTGTTAGGAGGACATGATTCAGATGTTCCGAAATCTCAAGCACTTACATCTTCCCTCTTCAGTGTCGTGAACATGGTCCTTCGGCCATACACCCTGAAAAGATCGTAGAATTCAGTCTTATCATACCCGCTGCCACCGGAGCCATATATCTCCTTGACAGCGTCGTACGATGTATATGACACCTCGTCAGGTGCTACCCGCACTACCGGGCCGTATTTCTGGTGTAATTGATGAATATACTTGGTCCGGCTCGCCTGGAAAGCGTGCCACTTCAGGACGAGACCGGTGAAGACGGTATACCAGGGACCGGGGATCTTTCGGAGATGGGACGTGAGGCACTGAGCGAGATAGACAAGCAACAGTGCGCCGCCAGCAGACAGCAGTAGAGCTGGTGATAGGAGCGCCATGACGATAGTTGGTTAGAGATGCTTGAGAGACGAGAGGAAACAAAGATGCTTGACTCACATCGTGGGACTTATACCTCGGCCTGGCTCT